ACCCAAATCTCTTAACAGTTTATTTAGAGTAAAAAATCTCTTGCTTTAGTGCTTGAGCATTTGAAGTCTTGAGCTTATGTGCTCGAGCAAGGAAGTATCAGACTTGTGTGTTTGAGCAAAGAAGCTTTTTAGCTTGGGTGCTAGATCAATGAAGTCTTGAGCTTGTGTGCTTGAGTAAGAAAGTCTCAAACTTGTGCCTTTGAGAAAACACTTATTATACTTGTATGTGTAAGCAAAAGAAGTCCATTGCTTGTGAGTTTGAGCATTTGCAATCAAATTTAATTATAGTGGAAATCCCTTGGAAGTGCAAGGGGACTGGACTACTCTCAGATTGTGACAGGAACCAGGATAAACTTCTTGTGTCTTATGCTTTTACTTTACTTGTTTCTGAACTTTATTCTGTTGCTATCTATTACATAACTTTGATTTAGATTTTGTTATAGAATCTGATAAATATATTCAAGAGTTCAGACTCTAAGTGACTCTGATTCAAACTCTAAGTTGAAGTTTCAAACTCTAATTAGGATCAGTCAGAAGTATAAGCAGAAAAACTTAAGAAAAGTCAACATAATTTAACCCCTCCTTCTTGTGTTTTTCTCACCTTTATATGATTATCCTAATTGGTGTCGAATGATGTTCAAAAAATATGTGTTTAACTACATGTGATAAATCTTAGTATAGAACTTTTGGACAACCTACAAGAGTTTCCATTCTGGTTATTACTTTTGTTGGTTAATCATTTGTTTTAGTTTTGTTGTAAAAGTATAATGTGTGTGCCATTTTGACTTTGAATTTGGTGTAAACAATTAATATTTGTTGTACAATGTTTCTGTCTGAGATATTGGCAAAATGTACAAGTTTCTGTTTCAGAAATCTGCAAAATATGATTTTATATTCTGTGATATGGTTCTGTAATAGAGGTACAAACGAAAGTGTATATATATATATATATATATATAATGTTATCCCCTCGATTTTTACTTATAACACAGGTAAACTATATTGCATTATTACCTTACTTTTACAACAACAAAAAGATTTAGTATTAGGCACGCTATCCAGTTCTAAAAACAATAAAAAGGCGGATGTTGGGGATCAAACCTATATCTAGATAACTTTACCCTTCAATTTTTAAATAACAGAGGGGTAAATTTTTCACTTTTCATGTCGCCCTTCGTTACCTCGCCTTTGTAGTTTAGGTTAAATGTTTTTGGCGTTTGAGGTTAAATGTGTTTTTTATAGTAGTGTTTTCAAATAACTATTTGTTTTTAGGTGGTTCGCATATGGGACGAATTATGAAAAAACACCCCATTATTTTGTTGTTGGATATCGGTATTTCTTCAATCAATTTGAGGTAAATGATGTATTATCTTCAAAACTAAACTACTAATATTTAAAGTTTAACATTATTTTTTAACTCATTATTTGATTTATATAACAATTTATACGGAGACCCTATCTTAGAATTGAAGATGAGGATCCATGAGATAATGACATGTGGAGTTCAACAACACTTCTAATAGCTTACAATGGAAATGCATCATTTAGATAGGGTTAAACTCAAGTTTGGCATTCAACAAGACATTTCGGGTCTACATAGATGCATATATGAGTGTCACATAAGTTCAACCTCTAACTAATGAAAATTAAAAAATTAGAAATACCATTATAGATAAGAGCGTCTTCAATGGAGAAACCACCACAATATTGTCTTACAAGGCTATATCATGCCAGCATAATTTAAATCAAGCTATGAGTACTTGACATGGTATAAGTTTGTTTTAAATTTGTATCTATCATATAATATATTACTACATGATCCTCGTAACCAACTCTCATCTTCAAACTTCTAACCCACCAGACCATTCACAAGCATTTATATCTCAACACAATCACATCACACCACAGACACCCAACAACTTTTCAACCTAATACAACGACCTTGCACCCCAATCCAACACTATCAACAACAAAACTCGCCATTTAACCTAAGAACCTATAATACTCAGCAATAAAACCCACAATTTACCCCCAACAACCTTTAACACCCAACAACAAACACCACCCACCACCTATTATAACTCATATTCATTCATACAACCTACCCCTCACGAATACAACAACTTTCAAACACCCCAACCACAAATTGCTTTCCCCGTCACAACCATTCACCTAGAATTCATCCCAAGACCAACAAAATTACATCCCTTTCATTTAAAAATCAACTCAAACTACTATCCAATCAAATTGGAGTTACATTAACTTATGGTAGTGCAAAAGTGAAGTTAATTGTTACATGGTCGTTGACTTCATGGATCATATAAATGACGTGTGGAATTTTACCCAGCCGCCAATTAATGATGAGAACAAAATATAACCTAAAAGGACTACGCGATAAGAAGTGTTTCCTGCATGTGGAACTGGATATCGCTTGCCACAATCGGGTCAAAATCAACCTTAGATATTTTTTAATGTAATTTCATTATCATTAAATAAAAAATATTATTTTTAATTAATGTTTTATTTGTTAATTAAATATTGATTTAATTGTTATTAAATTTAAAAAAATCTTTTGCTTTTTTAACTAGAAAAATAACTATAGTTAATTATAATGAGTTAATATTAATTTATTTTAACTAACAAATCAGTTATAATTAAAACAAATATGTTTCAAAGGGCCATACAATACATTGGGTGATCCCTCTAAAATCTTTAACTCACCCTACATTAAAATGGGTGGGTCTTTTATAACTTTCAATGCACCCTACAAAGCATTGGGTGGGTGCCTTGTACCAAATAAAAATGTTTTAAAACATGGTAGTATGATATATAATGTGGAAAATGTGGTATTTTGGTGTTTAAGTTGGAAAAAGGTGGTAATCATGAACCATGGGACAAAGATTGCTGCATTACCTCAGCAGGAGGAGGATTGGTTTCAGAGTATTATATCTTTATCTGGTATGAAAGACATATGCATGACCGGTTACACTCTGGTCAACCATGGGATGCTTAATGCATTCGGGTAGAGATAACACTATGAAACATCTTTGTTTCATCTTCCGCATGGTGAGCTGTCTATGACACTGAATGATGTCTCGTGTTTGTTACATCTTCCGATCAAAGGGAAGTTCCTTAATCACGGGAGAAATACCAGAGACGAGGCAGTTGAGATGATGGTAGACCATTTGGGGGCAGATCAAGAGAAGGCATGAAAGAGTCGATAAGATCAGGGGTGCTCATGTTAAATTTGAGTTCCTAAGGAAGTTGTATATGGACGAGATCAGTAAGGCACAACAAGCACATGGTAATGCTGGGCAACAAGAGGTACACAAGATACATGCTTTGAGAGCATAATTTCTTTTTTTTGTTGTTGAGACTTGTATTTTTGTGGACACGAATGCCACCTACACCAACGTCGTCTATCTCCGATACTTCTTAGACCTCACTCAGATCCATGAGTACAATTAAGGGGGCGGTTTAACCAACCTATCTGTATTTGAAGTTGAGGGAAAAATGTTTGTGGAAGACGAAGAAGGTCACAGAAAACGCACACTACTGGTGGTAATAATTTTTTATCCTTGAATGTTTTTTAATCTTTTTCATTTCATAGTTGCAAAACAATTGTCGGCAATTCTTGATCCCTAAATGATTTTTTTTTTAATTTTCATTTTAGGCTTGGATCCTTCAGCACTTCTCGTGCATCTCTGGCTGGGTGAGTGCAGACGAGTACACTAAGGACACGTCGTATGCCCATGCTTTTATCTCGCTGAGAGGGAACCAATCAGTTAATCCTTTTAGATTCTATCTTGATTGTTTGGTTGTTGAAGACATCCATTTTAACAGCTACGTGGATCACCGTCAGACACGACCATTTGACCTCCTATCGCCATACTTTAGATGATTAGCCTACGGATCGCGTATTCTTGCTTCTCATCTTCCCGAATTCATCATGCGGTAGTTCAAGTACACCTAGACCATCCCTAGACACCCATGCTGTCTCTACTCATCATGCCTTGTCTTGTAGATAGATAGAGGAGATGTTTGCTGATTATGAGAGTTACCTAGTACTAGTGGAGGCTCGGGATGCCATAACGCCGAACGAATGGAGCTACGTCGTCGCATAATGGAGATTGTGTCGGAAAACAGTGACAAAAGTATCTTCCTTGAAGGGTCTATTGTCAGGCGAGTCCTGGATGCCTGGTGGCGGAGACACATAGGGCACTGTTGGAGCAGAAACATCGCCAGAGGAGAGGGGATTGGGGATTGATGGCCGAGGAGGCAAAGTAGGCAGAGGAGACAAACGAGGTATGTGAGAGGTTGTCAGGCACACCCAATAGTTGTCTGTTATTCTTTTGTTGTAGAACCATAGTTTGTACTTTATTTCTTACATTGTTACTATATTTTGGATCTCGTTTTGCACGACATTTTTCTATTATATTTCTATACTATTTTTGACACACCCATTATTAGTCTCTTATTATTTTGTACGTCCACTATTTTATTCAAGATCGTGATTCATACTTTATTTCAAAATAAATACACAACTTATAGTAAAAAATACCTGTTCTGATACACTTCAGAGATGTATCTCTGAAAAATTATTAGATATGCATCTCCGAAACAATTTAAATGTAAATGACTCATATATGACATGTTATAAATGTTTAAAATGGTCTCAAAGATGTATCTTCAAAATATATCAACGATTATTTAAAAATAAGATGCGTCCGAAGATGAATCTCTAAAATAAAAAAACATATAAGAAAATTCACATGGTGTGTTAGAAATATATATGATGCAATAAGAAATTCTCGAAAAATACTCAAAATAAATAATAAAGCTCAATTGGGCTGCAAGTCAAGAATATGGGCCAGTCCAGACTCTATTCTTTGGATTAGGGTTACACTATTAATAGAAGCAGCCCACGCCGTCTCCACACTCTTCAATCTCCTCATTGTTGCGCCGATAGGTTTCCGGCTGCTCAATTCCCAACTCACAACATGGTTTGTATTCTCCCTTTTCTGTAAATCTCATTCTATTCAATTTATCATTCTCATTTGTTATTGTTTATCAAATCACAAGGTTGTTATTCAATAAATGTTTCGAAAATTTCTCAGTAGCTTTATGGAATCTGTTTTATTTTCTCATAGTTGAACTTGATTTGATCTGTGTGTTTATGTTTTTGAACAATGCTTTCGATGATTTTGTGACAGGCGAGAGGTTTGAAGAAGCATTTGAAGAGGCTCAATGCTCCCAAGCATTGGATGCTTGACAAATTGGGTGGTGCCTTTGTAAGTGAAATTTTCATAATCTTTAATTGATTTTTAACTGTGGGTTTGAAAGTTTAAGAGGCTAATTTTTTTGTTGTGTGTGGAATGAAATTCACAGGCTCCTAAACCCTCGTCAGGACCCCACAAGTCAAGGGAGTGCCTTCCACTCATTCTCATTTTGCGGAACAGACTGAAGTATGCTTTGACATACCGTGAAGTTATTGCCATATTGATGCAGCGACATGTTCTCGTCGATGGTAAAGTAAGGACTGACAAGACCTATCCAGCTGGGTTCATGGGTATGTTGCAACGACATGACATTCATTTTTCAGAATTAATACTAAATTCATGTTGTGTTGTCAGAATAGTTACTTAGTTATTTAGATTGAATGTATTGTGGCTAGAATTTTCCATCCAAGATGATCTCTGATTTAATGTGGTTTTGGTATATTGGTGCCCGGGGATTGAATGAAGCTAGATGGTTTCTGATGTATTGTAGTTTGTTATATTGGTGCAATTTTGAATGAAGCTAGATGATTTCTGATGTATTGTGGTTTTGGTATATTGGTGGCTCGAGGATAGATGATTTCTGATGTATTATGTTTTGGTTAATTGGTTCTCGAAAATTGGGTGAAGCTATAGATGATTTCTGATCTATTGTAGTTTAGTTAATTGTTGCTAGAATATTGAATGAAGGAGAACTTAAATATTTTCTGGATTCATGGATTTATCTTTGACAATACATGATGTTGTGGCCTTGATTGTTTAGTATTGGAATTTTTGTGTGCTAGTGTTTATATGATTAAACCATTGATTTGCTTAGTTTTCTATTCCCTCTCTGAAAATCTGCATTTTCTTATTTTACTTGATTTAGTTTTGTAAAACATTGTTCCTCTACAGATGTTGTCTCTATTCCTAAAACAAATGAGAACTTCCGTCTGCTCTATGATACTAAAGGCCGTTTCAGACTTCACTCAGTCAGGGATGACGAGGCAAAGGTATGTTTTGTTTCTTACCGAATACTTTGTATTCATCTCTCCCCTTGTTCAATCATGACGTTTTATACATTTGCATAATGTCTTGGTTTTGTTTTTTATTTTCTTGTAGTAATATTGTATACCTATGTTGATGATTGTGGTTTACAATGTATTTTTCTCTCCTCTCGGGCAATAATCTGCCATTTTAAAAAATAGCACGGTGTATTGGTTTTGTTTATTTTCTTGTAATATAATAAAGCTGTCTATGATTGTGGTTTACAATGTAATTTTCTCTCCTCTCGGGTTTTTATACCATAACATAGTATTTTGGTTTTGGTTATTTTCTTGTAGTATTATAATAAACCTTTGTTGATGGTTGTGTGGTTTTTTAATCCGGTCTTTTTCTTGTTTTACATGATTTTGTATATTTTCGATACCGCTTTTACATGTTTCTGTTGTATGTGTTTTACATTACAGTTCAAGCTTTGCAAGGTCCGATCGGTGCAATTTGGGCAGAAAGGTATTCCATACCTGAACACATATGATGGTCGCACCATCCGCTACCCAGACCCTGTCATCAGGGCCAATGACACCATCAAGCTTGATCTAGAGGAAAACAAGATTGTTGATTTCATCAAGTTTGATGTCGGGAATGTTGTTATGGTTACTGGTGGAAGGAACAGAGGGCGTGTTGGTGTGATTAAGAACAGGGAGAAGCATAAGGGAACCTTTGAGACTATCCATGTTCAGGATGCTACTGGTCATGAGTTTGCAACTCGTTTGGGTAATGTGTTCACAATTGGTAAGGGTACCAAGCCATGGGTATCTCTTCCCAAGGGTAAGGGTATTAAGCTAACTGTAATCGAGGAAGCTAGGAAAAGGGCTGCTGCAGCTCAACAAGCAATTGCTGCTTAAATCTCTTCTGAATGAATTTATAGTAGACTTGAGAGTGTTTGGTAGTTTTATTGATGCTTTTGGTTTCTTATGTATTTTGTCTGAGATTGTATCACTTGAATTTTGACTACTTTTGTTGTGCCTGCTATATTTTTTTTTATGAAGTATCTTTTCATTCCCTAGTTTTGAATCATTTTGGTAATACATAATCTTTAAAACAAAAAAAAGTAAAATTCAAATATAGATAATGGCTTTTTTGAATAAAATAAGAATTGTTCTGATAATGACTCGGTAGTTGTCTGAATTATTCTAAGGGGAATATGTCGATGACTACAATTTTCTTTATAAGCTATTTGTGGTGTAAACATAATTTTATTGATTTGGTTTTATGATATATAATTGGTAAAACAGATTTATTTTGCTTTAAACTTTTGGATTTGTTTCGGTGTTAGATTAAAAATGCCCAGGAGAATGTGCCGGAGACTTGTCAGTCGGAGCCAGTTAATTGTAGTGTTCAATCGATGCTTTTTGTGAAGATTATGACACAAGAAAATTTGTCACAAACCAACCGTTGTACACTTTTAAATATTTGGTGCATTTCATATGTGCGTGACCAAACTTTCGTCACTTTCAAATTTGCCTAAGAAGGTTTGTGTTTTAAAAGATGACGTGCTTGATGAAAACAACTGGAATTGAGAAAATCATGATAAAGGAAAATCAATGGCACTTGAAGTACATGACAATTAAAGGGCATAAGCTGAAGAATCAAATGAATTTGGATTTGATAATGGAGGTGAGGCTCCTGAAACTTCACTACAAAACATGCAACGCTTGAGAAGTAGACAGTGATGGATGGATAACTACACAAGTGGTGAATAACTCTTGAATGAAGAGAGTTGGCTTTCTTTCCCTTGCTAGAAATTTTTTGCAAGGTTTATGAATGTAGAGATTGAAGTTATTTAAAGAAAAAATGTATGGGAATTAGTGGTATTAAGTGAAGGAGAAAAAACACCGGGAGTAAAATGGATTTACATAAGAAAAGTGAAATAAAAAAAAAAGAGAAATTATGAAGTTCAAGACTCATTTAGCCGCAAAGGATATACTCAAGAGTATGGAGTTGATTATTTCAAATTATTTGCACCCGTAGCAATCAATGATAAAATAAAATTGATTATCTCATTGCCTCCTCTAAACAAGTGGATAGTTTTTTAACTTGATGTCGTGTCTTCCTTTTTACAGATTTAGGAATGATAAAATACTTTGTTGGCATATAAATGGCTCAATCTGCAGGTACCATTTTCTCTTTGTCAAAATAAATATAGTTCACATCCCTATGGTTCTTGATCCCTATTGTCACTTTATCCACGTCCAAATCAGAATTTATAGTTTCTACATTATGTGTTGGTCAAGGTATAGCGGAAGAGGAAATGGTGAAACCATATTACTGCAAAAGCAATGAAGTAGTAGTTGTTAAGAACTTGACATTGGCATGTGTTCCATTGAAGAAATAAAGTGATTGTTTAAGAAAAAATTGAATAACAATCCAAAAAAAAAAATTGAAATGTAAAACGAATTACAAACTATTTTTTTTAATCAAGGAAATTTGTCCACAAAATTACATAAGGTAGCAAAAATTGCAAGTATTAAGAGATTCAGATTCTTCTTGACATCGAAAATTACTGCATTTTGTAATATCACGTGAAAACAATTTTATTAGGCATTTGGTAACTTAAAACAGGAAGAAAGCTTTAGACGGAAAACAATCCACCATGGATTAGCTACTAAACAAACTGAAAAATTATCAATGAGCAAAAACAATCCACCTAAATTTTATGTAGGTGCGGGTTCAGTTCAAATTTTTAGTTAATGCAAAAAGACTTGAAAGTAGTCTATATGAACAGATACACATGACTAAAAAGTGAGGAAGATGTAATAATCAAGCTGCAGCTTCCTCTTTGAGCAACATCTGATCAAAGTGCCAAACACCTGAAAGACCATCACAGCCACAAAATTAAACACAGAGTATCTTCGAAAAAGGACATGTAAAGAAAACTATGAAAGAAAAATAAGATTCATGAATCAGAAATTGAATTCTCACCATGTCCTTTGCCAACTCTTCTAAGCTGAGCAACATACTCGGATATTTTTTTGATGGCTTCAACCTATGAAAGGAAAAATAATAATTAAAGAGCGGAATTTAGATGGACTAAGCTTTCATTTGTAGTCTTTCGCCAAATGCATATGCCTTACACTGAAAAAATAAATATGGTAAGTTGCAAAAGAGAACTTATGCATACCTGTTCACCCAAAAACTCACTTTCCACAAAGTCTGCCAACTGCACATCATCATTTTTTGAGGCAACCTGTTGAAAAATGTACATAGTTAACCAAGCGGAGTTTCTATTTATGAATGGAAAAAATAGACAAAGCACAACCAGTAAACCAGAACCAAAATTTTAACCCAACAAACATGTCTTACACTGTGCAGGTTAAGGAGTTTTTCATTTGTTAACTTCTCCAATGACAGTGCTAGTTCCATTGCTGCAATAAAGGAAAAAAAAGTTCAATTCCAATAAATTAAAAGGCCGCGCGAATAACTAGTACAATATTGACCTCCACACCTTGTGTTACTCATTAGAAAGAAAAAAAAACCTTCATAGTATTTATCAGTCTCGAAGCAAACATTAATTGTTCATCAAAACTAGTAAACCGAGGGATTCAAATAATTTACAAACTGGGGTATCATAATTGTCATTGGTGAAATCATGAAAACAAATTTTGAAATTACAAGGATTCTAGTATGCTGAATTGATTATGTAACACTTATCTCGAACAAGAATCCACTTATTATCTTCAAATCTCATCACCAAAAAGTGTCATTATCGTAAACAAATAATTTGATCCATAAACTCTACACATGTCACAATTCAGACTCAATTAAATGTACGAATATGCAAAAGAAAGAATGAAACTATTAAAACCAACAAAAATTAAGAAACTAACCGTGCAGCGCATCACCCTTATCAGCATGATCAAACTCAGACAACGGCATCACTATAGATTGCAACATCACTTTTCCACCCCTTTTGTTCTAAAAATCAAAACAAAATATACACGTTGTTAACACAATTGCCAACCGCATATATATCTATTATTCAATTCTAACACTTCATTAACCAATTATGTGATATTCATTAACCATTAAAAAAAATTCCAATATTCTTCTAACAAGTAGAAATAGAAAAACCTGATATTCCATCAATTTCTCAGCATGCTCTCTTTCCTCTTCACTTGATTCTTTAAAAAACCTATAAACAAAACAAAACTCATCAACATTTAAAATCATTTCTAACAAGAAAAAAAAAAAAAAAAAAACTCAATAAATAAATTATCATCACTCACTTAGCAAGACCTCTCAGCGCAACATTATCTCTATCAAAATACGCATACATCGCATGGTAAACATACGAAACATTATACTCCACACTGTATAACAAAAATAAATCAAATTATTTGAATAAATCAAAATAAAATAAATAAAATAACTCAGAAAGAGGAACGAAACCGAACTTGATTTGTTCGTTGATAGCAGCTTCAGATTCGGCATTGAATTTATGGCGAGCTATAGAATCTTGTGGAACAACAGGAACGAGATCGAGTTCCTTTTTCACCTCTTCAAAAGGTTCAAACAATACACCGGTTAGAACACGGTTATCGCTAGAGTCATTGGTAGCAGAAACGGATAATTGGTTCAATTTGCTTCCTCTGTGAAGAAACGGAAGCAAACGCGAGTTTTCGGAGTTGAAGAGAGAAAGTGAGGAAGAAGCGGTTACGGCGGTTTTGAGAAGCATGGTTAGAGATTCTGTACGGAACGGAAATGGAAAGAAAGAAATGAGAGAGAAATTGACGAAGAAGGTGTTTCTATTTGGGGATGAGGAGTGTGGTGAATGTGTGTGTGGGAATGATTGAGATAAGGTGCGATTTTATGGGATGATTGAAGATGTGATGACCGTTGAATTTGGAGATACGTGGAGGGTTTAGATGGGAGGGCGTGTGGCAAACTCGTGTTGTGGTTTAGTTGGGTACAAATGTCATTTCATACATATGCATCAATTAATTTGGCGCATGCTCTTAGCTGCAAATATTTTTTTTTTTTTGAAATATAAATAATTTGATATATAATTGGAGAAAATGATTTGTTTGAAAATTAAGTTGAGGAAGATACTTATTTTGAAAAACAATTCAACTTACTCTATATTATAGTGTAAAATATTATATGTTATTTCATTTCCATTGATCTCATAATAGACAATCAATGTGATTTTTACACTTTTAAATAATGATTATTTATGTTAATTATAATGAAATATTGAGTTTCATCTATTAAAATAAATTTATTAATTATAATTAGTTAAATTATTTAAATTCAAATATAAACATAAAACTTCTACATTAAAAATAGGTAATAAATATTATAATAATATTATGAAGATATAATTTTGTTTGTAAATCAAATATTTAACATGAAACGAAAAAATATTATAACTTTAAATTGTTATAATTTAAATTAAATATTTATAATTATTTAATATTACTTGTTAGTTATCATTGCGGACATTGACAATCACAATCGTGTTTATAAATTTAATATAAAATAAGATATAATGTTAAATTATTAATATAATTGTGGAGAGAAATAAGTCTTTTGAAAAAGCTTCAATAATTTCTCTTTTAAATTGAAAAATGAATGAACAATTTTTTAAATGAACAATAAATTGGTTAAAATGATAAGTCATTTGAACAATTTTGGCAAGTGGTTAAAAATTCTATTTTGAGACCTACATATGAAGAAAAAAATCAACAGATAGACAAAAATAGACAAGCAGAAGTTGTCAACAAGCATGTTTGATTCGTTTAAGTCTGTTCCATTAAAGTCCGCCAAAATACAAAGCAAGACAGACAAAGTAGATTGGACGAGTTCGAAATCTTGGTTCTACCTACTAAAAATGGCGGGTGCATGC